TTCCAAGTCGAGCAGTGGGAACACTCTGCCCCTGATCTTACACGTTTTGGTACCCAGATCGACCACCATGCCATGTTTGGACAGAAAATCAAATCCCAATAACACCTCATCTGAGGGGATGTCTGATACCAAGAATTCCGCCACGAAAGCCAGGGGGCCCAGCTGATACGTTGTTTGCCAACATCCCATAATGCACATGCCTCCCCCATTCGCAGCTGTAACATTACCCTCATATGGAGTTAATTCACCCACCCCTCGGGTGAAGGACATCCACAGCTTTCGCGAAATCACAGAACGGGAGGCTCCTGTATCTACCAGAATGTGGCAGTCACACCCACCTATCCTGGCTTTCAAGTACCCAGCATTTCCTCTTCTTACAGGGGTCTCAACAACAGAGAGGGGGGCGGGCATTTGACCCACTGTACACGCCCCCTCTAGTTTCCCTGCACGTAAGGGCAGTCCCGACGTAAATGCCGGTTACAGCCACACTCCCAGCAGCCTCCCAACCTCCCATTTCCCTTTTTCCGGGAATATTCTTGCCTAGGCTGCGAGTTCGTATTCTGAGTGTCATGGTGGGGGCCCGATGCAACAGGTACAGAAAGTGTGTGCACCACATTCTGGAGGGATTTCACCTCCTGCCTCAAGCTCTCAACCACCCCCACTAGCGAAGCAATGCGTCCATCATCAACATCTTTCTCGTTTATCCCTCTCACTCTTGTGTCAGATACTGAGCTGGTCTCCAAACCCTTAATGAGCTCAAGCTCCGCCACTAGGTTGATGGCCTCCTCAAGTGACACGGGTTTGGCACTCCGTAAACACACTCTCATGTCCCCGTTCCCCACATGAGCTATGAACTGATCTTTAGCCAACAAATCTTGTGTGTTGGGATCCGCTGTCGGGTAAGCTTTAACAGCAGATCGTCGTAATGCCATCCCAAATTCTCGGACACTTTCATTATGCCATCTACGTCGAGCGGAGAAAACAGCTCTATTCCAGTCGGCGCTGTCGCACGGATCCAAACACTTGCCCATTTGCTCCTTCAACATGGCATAATTTGCTTTAACACTCCCTGACAAGCCATTATAAAACTCTCGAGCTTTGTCAGACAACAGGAGACACAAAAACTTCAACTTAAGGGGCTCATCCCAGTTATTTATATCGGCTGCCATTTCAAATTGTTCAACCCAGTCTGTCCATTCCCGGCCAACACCGGAAAAGCTCTCCGGCATAAAAATCGGCCGAGCTGCTGTGCTTACGGGCTGATTTTCAGCTGGTCCTGACGGAGGAGGTGTGTTATTTCCAGGTTCTGACATTTTGGATTGCTAAATCCCACTTCTGACACCAGTGTAATAAAAGTAGCCGTGGGCAGCACGGGCAGAATATCTTGCCCTCCAGTCAGAACCTGAACACACCACCAGTAGGCACTGATTTATAAAAGGATATACTTTATTATACAATCTACTAAAACACACAAATCAACCCCAATCATAAAACCTATACTAAAATACTGTGGCCAAAGTCTCCACTCCTAAAATCACAGTCCGGCATAAGACACACAAGCAGCGGTACTTAGCTGTCACGGATGGTGTGACCCCCCTCCCCGGGGTCTGAGCTTCCAGCACCGTCCAACGCCCCGGGATGTAGCTTGCGAGGACGGCGGGTAAATCCACAAGTAAATCCACTGCCAGAGTCCGTAGCGGCAGATGTCGGCGTGGTCTTGGCACCACCTAAGCCCAGCCCTAGCTGTCTAAAGAAGGCGACCAGCCTTCCCTCCTGACGCTGGAACTCTAACCACCTGTTTAGCTATCTTCGTCGCCGGCAGCCCTAACCAGCTGCGAACGACCCCACCCCCCAAAGTCCGATGCCACAATGACAGGTCGACCACGCACACCTCTCAGTAGGTCTGTCACCCTTTTATCCTCCCTGGCCTCGTTATCCATAACGAGGACCAGCTGGTGTCCAATCACCACACCCTCGGAGCTCGGCAGCTCCCGTCTTCTGTTCATCACAGTACTAATGTAAACAAAGTCACGCACGTGACACGTAGCGCACCTGGTCGCGAGTCTATAAATTACGCGCCGATAGCTACGTTCGGGTCTCTCTTTGATCTTCTCGCTGTTGGCCTGGCGTGCTTCGCTGGTCAATCGCTCCGTAAGTCCGTGATTCGGATCTTATCGGTCTTGAGAGGTGAGTACTGTTTTTACTTGGCGTCTTCCTGCCCGGGACCGTGTGGTCGGAGCGCTCGAAGGAGCCCTCTGGGGCGGTGGATTGACGCTGTTATTTATCTGCTAATTGTTACCGAGTGCGGGTGGTGCGGCCGGCCGGCGCCGTTCGGACCGCCGCTGCCGGCTCGGATAGGGCTCGCTGGCGGTCGCAGGTTTTCCCCTGTGGAAAGGGGAGGTGAGTGCGGCCGGCGAGCGCTACAGGTAAGTGGGGCTGGACGTTCTGACCGTGGTGGTGGCACGCTCAGATTACCTAGCCGACACACACGCACGTGTGTTGTTTTACAACGTTACCGGTGAGTGGGGCTGGACGTTCTGACCGTGGTGGTGGCACGCTCAGATTACCTAGCCGACACACACACGTGCGTTGTTTTACAACTCCAGGACTGAATCGCGTTCTTCAGTTTTCCTCGAAGTCCTCGCTCAGTTCCTGTGGAGTCGCTGGCGTCTCCCACACCGGTAAGGATGTTGGAGTGTACGTCATGCGGGGCTCCCCTCCAGGTGGAGGACGGCCACGACTTGTGTCCTAAGTGCCTGGGCGTCGGTCACCTCAGAGAGGCGCTGACTGACCCGTGCATGAACTGCAGCATTTTGCCGCTGGCGGTGCGGGAGGACAGGCTACGTCAAGTGGAGTCCTGTTTGAGTCAGACCTGCCGCCCTCTGGTGTCCCTCGCCCGTGTTCCGGGAGACGGAGGGATAGACCGGCTGAGGAACGCGGCAGCCCGAGGCGCAAGAAGCGGCGTGTGGCGCAACCCTCTCGCCAGGAAGTGGACTCTTTGCGGGCGGAGGTGGAACAGCTCAAAGCGCTGCTGACCAGAGCCCCGGACGAGGGGGGCCCGGACGACCTGATCTCTGTGAGGGCCTCAAATTCTGAGTTTCAGTCCCTCGAGGAGGAGGGCCCCTCTCCTGGCCGTAGTCAGGGGCTGGTGATGGAGCCCCCGGGCCTGGGAGGTCACGGTGACTCGGGGATGTCTCTCCATAGCTCAGCAAGCTCGAAGCTGGCGGAGGACCCCTGTCAGTTGCGGGCGATTTTGCGAGCGGCACTGGCCAGGATTGGACTGGGAGACGTGCCGGTGGCCCGTCCGGCGGGGAATCCCTTCTTCCGCCGGGCTCCGGCGGCGCCCCCGTTTCAGGTCCCACCATCGCCAGCCTTTGTGGAGGAGCTGCAGCGGTGCTGGGGGGACCGAGAGAGCTCTCCCACCATGGTAGGGATGCCAGGACCCTGGCATCGATGCGGGAGGCAGGAACCTACGGGTTGGACCGCATGCCCCCGGTGGACCACTGCGTTGCCTCTCTGGTGCTCTCCCCGGATGAGGCATTGAGGGACAGGGTCCGCTGTCCGAGCACCCAGTGTCGGGTGACCGACAGCTTACTGTGCCGGGCTTACGACATCGGGGCACGGATGGCACGCACCAGCAATTCGCTGTCGGTGCTGTTGCTAGCCCAGTCCCAGATGCTGCAGTCGGGCGCAGCGGGGATGGCACTGGGCGATACGAACGACGCAGCCCTGCAAGCATTTGGGCTGATGTCCAGGGAGCTTGGTCGGTTGTTGGGCACGCTGGTAGTGGCTCGCCGTCAGGTCTGGTTGGTGCAGGCTCCGGTGTCGGATGATTGCCGACAGAGCCTGCGCGGTCTGCCCGTGGTGCCGGGCCAGTTGTTCGGGCCCGAGGCTGAGCGGGCGTTGGAACGTCGGCGGCAGTCCAGACAAGCCGCAGAGGCCTGGAGTGGGCGTAGCGGGGCAGGGGTCCTCCCCATGCCACAGTCCAGGCCACGAGGGGCACGGGACCCTCGGCGCCGGTTTCGTCCGGCCGCCCCCTTGCAGGTCGCCCAGCAGGCCGCGGCTGCGGCAGGGACTTGGAGACGCTCGGGGGCAGGTCAGGCCCCGCCCCGGGGATCCTCGGGGCAGGACAGGGGCCGCCGCCCCCCCAGGGCCCCAAACAGGCGTCGGGACACGGCCTGAGGGCTGTGGGCCGGCGGCGGGCAGATTTACACCACAGCACCTGGCCCTCTGGGAGGCCCAATGCGGAGACGCTTGGGTGGTTCGAACTATGTCCCAGGGCTACAGGTTGCAGTTCCGCCGTCGGCCCCCACCCCCTTCGGGGGTCAGGGTGACTTCGGTCACAGATCCTGCACGGGTCAGCATCCTGATGCAGGAAATAGATGTGCTCCTGGACAAACGGGCCATAGAGGTCGTTCCGCCGCATTTGCAGGCAGACGGCTTTTATTCGACGTATTTCTTGGTGCCCAAGAAGGACGGGCCCCTGCGGCCGGTACTGGACCTCAGGGGTCTCAATCGGTTCCTGAAGGTGCTGCCCTTCCGCATGCTTCGGACTCGCGATGTCCTTCAGGTGGTTTGTCCGGGAGAGTGGTTTACGACCATAGACCTCAAGGACGCATATGGGCCATTCTCATCTGTACCGGGTCGGCCCGGGCCGGGTAGCCCCAGTCGGCCCCAGCCTGGCCCGGTTGATTCCACACATCCTTGTCTTAAGCCCATGTGGGCTGATTCTACCCACCAATCAGAGGCTTGCTCTAATGGAAGGTGTGAATGGGCTGATTCTACCCACCAATCAGAGGCTTGCTCTAATGGAAGGTGTGAATTTCTTGTCAGCAGTGGGTGTGTTGGCCCTGGTCGGCCTGAAGCAGTACCCCTCAGGAAGAGGGCCGAGAATGAGCCTTGGTTGGCCCGGGAAAATTCCAGGCCACCCAGATATGTAAACAACCTACGCTACCCGGCCCGGGCCGACCCGGTACAGGTGGGAATGGGGCTATACTTCCATGTCCCGATCCATCCGGGGCACAGGAAGTACCTGCGGTTTTCTTTCCTCGGGAGGGTGTACCAGTTTCTGGTTCTGCCATTCGGCCTGTCTCTCGCCCCCCGAGTTTTCACGCGGTGCGTGAAGGCAGCCCTGAGCCCCCTGTGTCGGGCGGGGTTGAAGGTCCTGCCATATCTCGACGACTGGCTCGTCTGCGCGCCGTCGTGTCGCAAAGTGGGTCTGGCCACGGCCAGGGTCCTTGCCCACGTCGAGGCGCTGGGGATGACGGTGAACCTGCAGAAGAGTTCTCTGGTTCCGACTCAGCGGGTGGATTTTATCGGCATTGCCATAGATTCTGTGGCCATGCGGGCGAGGCTGACCGAGCAGAGGAGGGTCCGGATTCGGTCCTTGCTCCGGGCCTTTCGCCTTGGGGCGGCACCCCCGGTCCAGGTGTGGCTGCGACTGTTGGGGATGCTGGTCTCGGCTTCTGCACTGGTGCCTCTCGGGCTGCTCCACCTTCGGCCCTTGCAGAGGTGGTTCAACGGCTTCCGCCTGGATCCCCGGCGACACCGACGGGTCGAGCTGGAGGTCACGAGCAGCTGTGTGGCTCTTTTGCGTCGTTGGGACGATGTCGCCTACCTGAGTCTCGGCGTCCCGCTTGGCGCGGTTCCCGCCAGACGGGAGGTGGTCACGACGGATGCGTCACCCCGGGGGTGGGGGGCGCATTGGCAGTGCAGGTCGGTCCAGGGGTTGTGGAGCCCCCGTCAGGCACGGCTTCACATCAATGTCCTGGAGTTGAAGACCGTCTACTTGGCGCTGAGGCGCTTCTTGCCCTTTCTGCGGGGCAAGCACGTGCTCATCCGGATGGACAGCACCTCGGCGGTGTTCCACATAAACCATCAGGGAGGCACCAGGTCGTTGCGATCGTTGAGGGAGGCTCAGACGCTGCTGACCTGGGCTTACCCTCGCTTGGCCTCCATCAGGGCGCTGCACCTTCCGGGGTGGAGGAACTTGGTGGCGGATTGCCTGTCCCGGCGGGGTCTTCCCCCGGGGGAATGGAGGTTGCACCCTCAGGTGGTGCAGAGGGTGTGGCATCAGTTCGGAGAGGCCCAGGTGGATCTGTTCGCCTCGAGGAGCAGCACACATTGCCCTCTGTGGTTCTCCCTGGCAGAGGCCGACGCCCCTCTGGGGATGGACGCCCTCGCCAATGCCTGGCCGTTGGTTCGGCTGTACGCTTTCCCGCCGTCTCCGTTGATCTTACCAACCCTCCATCGGGTGAGGGACTCGTCACACGAGGTCCTTCTGGTGGCGCCAGACTGGCCCATGAGGCTCTGGTTTCCATTGCTTCTCAGTCTGCTGAATGGAGAGCCATGGCGGTTGCCGGCGAGACGGGACCTCCTGTCTCAGATGGAGGGGAGGATTTGGCATCCGTCCCCAGATCATCTTCGGCTCACGGTGTGGCCATTGAAAGGGGCAGGCAGCCCCCAGTCGGCTTAGAGCCCTCCATCCAGCAGGTGCTGGATAGTGCCAGGGCTCCGTCTACAAGGGCCACGTACGCTCGCTGTTGGCAGCGGTTCGCTACCTGGTGTTCTGGCAGGGACGTGGACCCTGGTTCTTGTTCCCTGCATGAGGTTCTGCGGTACCTCCGGCACCTGTTCGACAAGGGCCGGGCCGCCTCGACCCTTAAGGTACACCTGGCGGCTATTTCGGCCAACCACCTCTTGGTGGATGGCAGGAGCATTGGGGCTCACTGTTTGGTGACCCAGTTTCTGCGGGGCGTGAGAAGGTTGCGTCCTGCCTTGTGCAGGCCGGCACCTGCTTGGGACCTTCCCCTGGTCCTCCGGGCCATGTGTGGGCCACCCTTTGAGCCAATGACTACCGCCCCGTTGGCAGTGGTGTCTGTGAAAACCGCCTTTCTCTTGGCAGTGACGTCGGCTAAACGGGTCAGTGAGCTGCACGCACTGGACATCAGCCCCGCCTGCCTGCGGTGGAAGGCAGATGGGTCGGGGGTGACGCTGTGGCCCAACGTCGCCTTTCTTCCCAAGGTTCTGCCCGCGGGCTACGTGAATGCCGCAATCGAGCTGGGGGCGTATTTCCCTCCCCCATTTCTTTCGGAGGAACAACGGCGGGCGAATTTGCTGTGCCCGGTCCGGGCACTGCAGCTCTATATTGTGGCCACAAACACTGTCCGGCAGTCGAACCAGCTGTTTGTCTGTCACGGAGGAGTGAACAGGGGTCGGGCCCTCTCGAAGCAGAGGCTGTCGCATTGGGTCGTGGACGCCATTGCGATGGCTTACGCGGCAGTGGGTGCCGTGGCTCCCCCTGGGATCGTGTGCCATTCCACCAGGAGCGTTGCTACATCCTGGGCGGCGATGAGAGGTGTGCCACTGGCGGACGTCTGTGCTGCGGCGTCCTGGGCAACTCCGTGCACGTTTGCACGCTTCTACCGCCTCAACGTTGGCCACGGGTCCGCGCTCGCTGCGGCGGTGCTGCCTCTGGCGGCTACCTCCTGAGTGACGGTGAGTTTTATGTTCCTCGTGACACTTCTGGCATAAGTCATCCACTCTGTTTACTGCCACTGGCAGTCAGGAGGGAACGAAACAGAACGGAAGTTACGGTGGAACTATGGTTCTGTGAGTTCCTGGATGACTGCCAGTCACAGGGGTCACTCGGAACTTCTCGGGCGAGAAGATCCCGGGAGACCCGAACGTAGCTATCGGCGCGTAATTTATAGACTCGCGACCAGGTGCGCTACGTGTCACGTGCGTGACTTTGTTTACATTAGTACTCGACCTGCGCAGAGCGCGAGGAGATACATCCACTCTGTTTACTGCCACTGGCAGTCATCCAGGAACTCACAGAACCATAGTTACACCGTAACTTCCGTTTGTCATCATGCTAACTGGAGCAGAAAACTGATTATTTTTGTCTTGGAAAAAATCTCATGCTAAAAGTTGTTATGTAGAAAGACTAAATTTTGAGGTAGGAATTACGTGACCCTTCTAAAATAGCTAAATATTGCTCTGATTTTTATTCTGAACGATTTTAATCAAATTATGGTCAGGCATCTATCTACCTGTCAGTTTTTGGAGACTCTTACTGAAACTAATCAATCAATCAGTCAAAGCTTTATTTATAAAGCGCCTTCCGCAACCCTGTCAGGAAGCCCAAAGCGCTGTCAACTGACACTGATTTAAAGGAATCTTGTGACAAACTTCTAACTCTTGATTAACTACTACATAACATGTCCCCAAGCTCTGGTGTTAGCTGTGATTTCCTTCTCCGAACACGTTGTTCCCTTTCTGCTCTGTTAAATTCCCACTGGGCCAAAATGAAAAACTGGGTCAAACTCCATATTTGTTGAAAGCTTGACTGCAAAAGTACTCATTATCTCCAGATATGTTTTGCTGAACCTTTTTATTTAGGAACAAACTTATTTTTGCATAAACAAATAACCAAATGACACACGAGCAAGTACATGTTAAATAAAACACACGTCAGTGGTATTCTTTCCTCGTGTTTTAAATCTTTTTATTCCTTAAGTGTGTGTATGTGTACAGCATTTTTGAGGTTTTCATATTTGCGTGTTTAGAATCTTCGAAGTATTTGTTTTATTTTGTCTTGTTGTTTACTCCATCTGTAGTTTTTACTCATCTTTTTTTCTCCTGTCATGAATGCCACTGCTGCTGTGACACCAAACTTTCCCCACTGAGGCACAATCAAGTGATTTTCTATTTGATTTCTATTCTTCTAACTGTAGCCTTTCCAGTTCCTGTTTTACTGTAGGTTAAGTCCTTGTTCACAGACCAACAAGACAAACCAAGAAATAATATTTTCCTCAAATGAAAATGCAATATGTCAGCTATTAACATTTATGATCTGGAGCAGAAAAGTTGCTTACATAGGTATGTGCTGCTGAACAATATGTTGGGGACAGGGTCACACACATGTCACTACACTGGATCAGCTCCATCTGGAGGTTGGTTGATGCGCTTTTCACGTCTGCTGTGAACAGATTACTGAGCTGTTGAAATCTCAATTTCCGGGTCTGCGCAGAGTAAAAGGAATATTTTTGTATTTTTTCAAGATTGAGGAAGGTAAGCCTGAGAATCCATTTAAAGGCTCAGGAACTCTTTGCAGGTCTTTTTGATTGATTAGCTGATTGGAATGTGACACTTTGAGCCTGGAATATTGAACCTTTTCTTATCATAGATTTAGGATTTTCATAAGCTGTAAGCCATTAGGAGGCTTTAATACTGTTAAAATCCTGCATCTATTTTGGTGACGGTTCATGTATCACTTGAATCTACTCATAATGGTTTTTCTTGCCATGTTCATTTTCTTTCATTTGTTGTTTATTTAGGATATTACAAGTGTTTAGCATTCACAAATACCACACTATAGGAGGATCTTTGTTGACATATTTTCATTGATGTGTGCATGCGCTTTAAAAAGCAGCTGAAAACTCAGCTGTTCAAGCTGGCTTTTGTATGACCTTCTTCACCACTCTCTCTTTATTCTGCTCTCCCCACCTATTCCACCTTCCTCAGGATCCACTGATTTCCCTCTTTCCTATTCACTCTCTCTTTCTTAACATTTTTTAAACACAACTGTCTATTTTTTGCTCATTTAAAATATATTTGTAACCATTTTCTAAATTCTTTTTTATATTTTTACATTTTTTGTTTTTGTGAAGAGCCTCGTGATTTTTATCTTGAGAGGCGCTGTAGAAATTATATTTTCTTCTTCTTCATGAGTGAATGGCTGTGTGGCAAGAACACACACAATATGGCCTGCTACCAATATGTGACGTACACTTTCAAGAGAGTTTGCAGGCGAAACACCAATATAGAAACACTAATGTCTACTGACGGAATGTTTAGAGAGAAGCTTAAAATTTGTGTTGAAGACAAAATTACTTATTCAGAGCAACCCAAAGTGGTTCGAAAGGAGGCCTTCTTTGGTTTCCAGCACCTTTAATGCAGCTCTGAACCCAATTCCCAAACAGTTTTTGTCCAACTCACCCCCTCTTGCATCTAATCCACATATGTCAGACTCAAGGCCCGCGGGCCACATGCGGCCCGCGGAGCATTTTTATGTGGCCCGCGAGATAAATATCAAAAATATATTAAAACTGGCCCGCTGGCCGATTTTACCGAAAAGACTTCAACTCCCATGATGCTTTGCGGCGTCAGAGCGGAGGCGACGCGCCCCCTCCTTTGTGTTTTTTCCAGCCCGAGGCAGTCAGGGGTAGTTGGGTGTCTGCAGCTCCGCTGTCTCGGACAAACTACACTCCTCTCACTCAGCGCCGAGTTCACTCAGCTGTTTTCTGACGTTGAAGCCCAGAAACGGAGATTCTAGTCGCTCAGTAATGTGTTCACGACTGAAAGAGAAAGTTTTTCAACTAACGTCCAGGCAGAGCCGATATAACTCCAGCGAGCAGCGACACGCTCAAACCAGCACGGCTCTATGGCTGCTGTCGTTGTGTTTCCTCCCCGACACACAACAACGCGGTCAAGCTGCTCAGACATATTCATCAGCACAAACCTATTTGAGCACCTGTTGTCATCTAATGTTGTCATGATGAAGATGAACAAAACAACAGGAGTCTCCTCCTCAGCTCAGATCAACCCCATGATGCAGGTATCTGGCTGGAACAGGTGAGCATCACAGTAAACCAGTGGAGCAAACTGAGCTTTAAATATGTTGGTTTTATGCTCTTTTTCTGCTCCAAAACATGAAAGTTAACAGGTGAGATGTTGCATTTTCATTTAAGATAAAATGATATATTTTTTTGTTGTTGGCCCGTGAGAAAAGATTTAACCTACAGTAAACAGGAAGTGGAAAGGCTGCAGATAGATGAATAGAATAGAAAATCCCTTTATTGTTCCTCAATGGGGAAAGCTAGATGTCACCGCAGCGATGACACTTATTACAGGATAAAAAAAGGAGAATAAAAAATAAGAAAAATGAATAAACAAGAAAACATAAATCCTGAATAGATTTTAAAAATGCTGATTATACCACAAGTAATGAATACCACTGATGCGTTTATTTAAAACTGACTTGCTCGTGTGTAATTTGGTTATTCCACATTCAGTGTTAATGCAGAAATGTTTGTTTCCAAATTTAAAGGTTCAAAATTGCATACATGTTGATAAAGAAAATGTGCAAATTTGCCATCACTTTTTCAAAAAATATTAAGTTTGGCCCTCGACTCCGTCCCAGAGTTTCATTTCGGCCCCGTTTGAGTTTGAGTTTGACACCCCTGATCTAATCAATACAATTCCCACACAATTGAGGCTAACAACTCCTCGTGAGGTATGGTGGAGCGGTATTCATGGGTAGCAGTGTTACCCATGAATACGAGTCTGATGAAACCTGCTGGTTTTCCATCAGGCAGTCACGGGGCAGCTCCAACGACCCAGTGGCTGTGCTGGGTCAGTTATCGAGCCCAGTCCGGTACCGGCTTGGCCGTGAACGAGCCGAGGCGACGTCTTGCTCTGCTTAAGAAGAAGCATTATTTTCCCGCTTCAGAAGAAGTGTCCAACGTGTTTTTATGCTTTCTCTGAGACATGTCACGTTGCTAAGTTGTTAGCGCCGCGCACTAACACGTCAATAGTGCAGAGTAGCCTGCTGGAGGTTTTAAGGGTTCAGATGAAAACACCCGACCTCTCATGCTGCTCACGCATCGATCTTAAGTTGTCGCTGTTGCGCTCACGCCGTAATGTAGTATTAGATGCGGTTAAAGGCAGACATGAAAAAATAAATTTTACATGAATAAGTGATGATTAGCCTGGTGGGGGGAGGAAAATCTGGCCAAATAAGCATGGGAGGAAACCCTGTCAAGATCGTCAACGCTCGTTTATCTTAATGCTATTGAAACATGTAAACCAAAATGCATTATATCCACTGCTACCTTTCTAATTTTAAACTCAGTAACTTATGCTGTAACTGCACCTTGCTCTGCCTGCTCCTTTCTTCTTGCTGTCCGCCGGCTGTGATCACAAGCGACAACATAGTGGTTCCCGCTGCTTCTTCGGGAAACAGCGCAATAAATAAATAAATAAAACTTGGGATCTTGTAGGCGTGGCGGTAAGATTTCAGCCGTGGCGGGGCGCCACGGCTACGCCTATGTAAGGGAAACCCTGGGTAGTTTCAGCTCGTTAAACAACAATAGACAGCTATAGTTTATAAGCTTGACCCTCTTATATTCCGGTCAGAATTGAAAAAGCTCCTTGGATGAAAAGCAAAACGTTTCCAAGAAACCAAAGAAGTCCAGTTGAACTTTATTCGAACCTCTTTGGATTACCATGACCTGGATGACTGAGAACCATCACCAACAATTATTCAAAGCCCGTATGAGCTCTGGGATGATGAAAAACTGTCTGATTCACCAGTGTTTTTTCCACAAATCTGCTGGGGAGGCATTTATTCCTATTTATTAGAAAAATCTAGACCCTTCACTCATGAAAAATTAACAGCTTTCAAAAGTATGGAGCCCAACGATTATTTTGTTTCGAGGAAAGTTGGGCCAATCTCTTCTAAAAAATAGAAAGCTGTGGTTTTGCTAAAAGCAGAAGTTAGCCAGAGCGAGTAGAGTCATGGCAGGCGCACGACCCCGAGCCGATCTGGTACCGACACAGGTCCGCACTGAGGCGCTGAAGATAGGCACCAGTTCTATTTCAAACGCCATGGCGCAGCTGTTTACAGCATTGTGGAATACTTTACAACAGACATTATGACACGGAACGGCCCTACGGCATAAACCTAACCGCCAAAACATGGATGAGGAGCTTATAAATGCTACTTGATTACAGTATTGATAACTTTAAAGTACTATTGATCTTAAAATATTCTAGTAAATGGCGTACTTACACATTTTTTAGTAAATTGGAGTCTCACAAAACACGACGGCAAGTCTGATCACGTATAAACAAAAGAGTAGGGCTGTCGCGGTTGAGGAATTCCTCCTGCGGTGATTCAGGGTGGCTTAATATTGCGGTGTGCGATATTATTGCAGTCCTTTTTTTATTGCAGTACTATCTAAACATAATGTTTACACATTTAAAAAAGGTTAAAAATTGCCGTGCCTTCTTTTATAACACTTTACTGAATGCAGATCAAAGGGCAGTAACAACACAGATCGCAGTAACGTTTGTTTGTCCGACAGTCAGAGTCCGACTGAACTTAAAAACAACAAAATTCAGGAGAAGGTTAAACTTTTAAATGCAAATTGGGCTGCAGCATCTAACAAAGAAACAAGTCCCCATTTTGTTTAGTTGTTTAAAATCAAGCATAAAAAATTACATGTACCGGACGCGCGCCGGGGGGGGGGGGGGGGGGGGCACTATCATTTCACTTTCACACACACGAATGACGGTGATTTATAGCTCGGTCACGTCCTTGTTACCTACAAGGAAAACCAGCATGATAACCATATACGGTTTGAGAGAGGATCTGAGAGGGGTGGCAACTCCAGCAACACTGAAGACCCTCTCGGATGGTGCGATGGTGCGCTCGTTGCACTAACACACGTACTTGCGTGCGACTCTGGCGAGCAAAGGGAATCTCTCCCGGTTGTTGCTCCACCATGTCAGGGGGTTTCTTTAGGGTCGATGCATTCCTCCTGCAGGTAGCGAGTGAGCTCCAGCTCGGCTTAAACTCTCTTCAGGACAGTTGCAGAAGCAGTGCTTGTCCGGGACTTCAGCAGGTCTCCGAGCGTTTATTATTATTTTTTTGCCACTGGTGTCAGCTCTGTCTCGGCCAAGGACCCTGGCTGTGCAGCAGCTGACGTACTGAAAACCAAAGTGCTCCCAAAGGACCGACGTAACGTTTCGTTTTGATACCTGTAACGTTATGAAGTTCATAATTTTCAGCTCCACACAGCTGCCCCTGTACACTGTAACACCCGTGTAGAATACGCCAAGGTCGGGTGTGCCTCAGACTGTTTACATTCCAGGAGAAGAGCCAGAAGGAGAAGAAGAACGCTTTTCAATAATCAAAGTACTTAATTTGTGATTAAAGCTAGTCGAAACAGATGTTGATCAATAATAATCAAGTGAATGATCTGTGGAATAAAGATGTCATGATTTATGTGTTTAATGAAAACAGGACTACTGCACAGACAGACTGACCCTCATCTCCATAGAAACGCATGACACATTGTTCCAACCAATCAGAGCTTTCGGCTGCCGTAAGAGAATCTGGCTTGTTGAATTAAAGTGTCCAATCCCGTTTACTAAAACTTATCAACAATTCAGAGATATAAACAAGGCAACGCCATTTTAAGCTCAGTTCCATTTTGACTTCAGTTCTGTTCAGTTGGAAGTCCTACGGGGTTCCACCGTCATCAAAAGAGAAGTACAGCCTGGCCAGATGTGCTTTCTTCTTTAACTGAGAACTGTGAAGCTACTGGAGAGTTCCGTTGTTTACCAACAAGACAACATCCCTTCAAAATAAGAGCACCACTAGCTGACGCTGCCGATGGTACCGGGGTCGACCCTTCAGACGGGCTTTGACGTGCTGTGACCGCTGCTTCAACCAGCTCCAGTACACATCCGAGGTCCTAGGACCTGGCATTTCCTGATCTACCTGGGAGACTCCACAGGGTACGTACACGGCAAAATAGCTGCTCATGTCATCAGCTTCCGAAGCCTCGTGGTCCGTAGTCATAACAACCAGATACGCTCCGTCAGCCTAAAGATCCTGAACAAAACACACACACACGCACCAACACAACATCCAAATCCATTTTCATCCATCACAGAGTTAGTCCTGGTAGATTGTTAAGAATTTATAATTAAGAAATTAAAGATTCTTAAACGATCCCAACTCTCTCTCTTTTCTTGTCTCAAAGTCAATACAGAGTGTTTAATTAAACTCCCTGATGATAAAAACAGCCCATCTTCTGATTATAAAACTAGATCTACTTACAGTATATTAAAATACAACTCTAGATCGTTACATCACTCTATTTCACTACATACCAGTGCAGCCATCCTTCTCAACATGCATAATTGAGTTGAACCAAGTTCATCGCGGTGGCCCATGATGCAGCGCGGTGGGTTTCTTCATATTGCGATATTTCATTTTTGCGGTTACCGCGACAGCCCTACAAAAGAGTCACCTTCTGCTTCCTGTTCTCACATCCCGCGTGATGTTGTGACTATTGCGCAATTTTCCAAGAAGTGTTCAGCGACGTAGCGAGTCCTGTGTGACCATTTGACTTCTCAAAACCACAGCGCTTCTGTGGCGCAGCGCATCTGTCTTCTGTGTTTCCTACTTACTCTGTTTCTTGCCACCCAATCCCGTGATGCAATGCAAGAAACATAAACATTGATGTCAAAAAGATCCCCCTTTAACTTCAGCTAATTTGCAATGATTGTCCCTCAAGCTCCCTTAGCTACAAACGATGACATTAAAAAGAATAAAACATGACATACTACAATAAAACATACAAGTATAAAACAAAATTAAGTTTCTTTTATTGTTGAAAGACATTCTTTATTTTTCCATTTGAAGAAATGTGCCATTTACATTCAGGTCTGATTCTACTTCACTGACTGAGCCAGAAGATTGCAGAGTTCTTAGAGATGTATAAAGCTGGAAGGGGTTCTGTATCTGTAGAGATACTGGAAAAGGCTAATTGTGTGTGTGTGTGTGTGTGTGTGTGTGTGTGTGTGTGTGTGTGTGTGTGTGTGTGTGTGTGTGTGTGTGTGTGTGTGTGTTTCCAGGGATTCCTGAAGATGTTCAGATGGTGGTAATTAAAGAAGAAGTTTCTGAAGAATGGCCATCTGATGTGGACCAGCAGGACCCAGATGCTCTCGACCAAAAGGAAGAAGGGGAGGATAGGTGGACCATTCTGGAAGGAGAGCACCTTAGTGTGAAGGAGGAGACTGATGAAACCGGGATTTCATTCACTGCAGTTTCTTTGAAGAATGAGGAAGACGAAGAGAAACCTCTGTTGTCACAGCTTTATTGGGACAAGGTGGAGGGTAGAGATCTTCCAACTAGCAGCTCAGCTGATCAGGTGACATCAGCAGCTTGTGGACAGGACTTGGGAGGAGCAGAAACCAGGAACTCGGAAGAAAATCGTTATGAGCGTGGCTCCAATACATCCGACACTGAAGACAGCGAGGATTATGAAGTTTATGAGGATGGAAACAATTCCAATTGTCAGATGAAATGCTTGTCAGACTCTGGACACATTAAAAATCAAACAGCACAAAGGATTTCAAGCTGCTTGATGAATGAGGAAAGTACTGGAGAGAAGAAAACTTTAGATTTGGACAAGGCAGTCCAGACAGGACTGAAATCATTTAGCTGTGATGACTGTGGTAAAATATTTACAAGAAAAGACGATCTGAATACACATAAGAGACTTCACACAGGAGAGAAACCTTTTGGATGCGATTTGTGCGGACAAAAATTTATCCGAAAGACGCATTTAAACACACACTTAAGAGTCCACACAGGACAGAAACCATTCGCGTGTGATATTTGTGAGCAAAAATTTTACCAAAGGGCAAACTTAAACTCACACATGAGAATCCACACAGGAGATAAACCTTTTGTCTGTGGTGTTTGTGGACAAAGATTTAGTCAAAAGACAAATTTAAACACACACAAGAGAGTTCACACAGGTGATAAACCATTTGCCTGTGATGTTTGTGGACAAAGATTTAGCCAAAAAACACATTTAAAGATACACATGAGAACCCACACTGGACAAAAAATTTTTGGTTGTGATGTTTGCGGACAACAATTTAACCACAAGTTAACTCTAAACAGACACGCAGGAATCCACACAGGAGAGAAACCATTTGTTTGCGATAACTGTGGTGAAAGATTTAGCCGAAGAACACATCTAAACTCACACATGAGAATCCACACCGGACAGAAACCATTTAGGTGTGATGTTTGTGGACAACAATTTAGACAAAAGGCAGGTTTAAGCATACACATGCGAATCCACACAGGGCAGAAACCATTTCCTTGTGATGTTTGCAGTAAAAAGTTTAGCCAGAAGACATATTTAAAAAGACACATGAGAAGCCACACAGGGCAGAAACCGTTTGCCTGCGACATTTGTGGAAGAACTTTTAGTGTTAAAGCAAATCTAAACACACACATGAGAATCCACACTGGAGAGAAACCATTTTCTTGTGACGTTTGTGGACAACAGTTTGGACGTAAGATTACTTTAAATGCACACTTTAGAACCCACACAGGACAGAAACCATTTCCGTGTGAGATTTGTGGAGAAAAGTTTAGCACAAAGACAAATTTAAAAAGACATTCTGGAATTCACACAGCAAACAAAGAACTCCTTTGTGATAATGCATAAAACACAAACCACGTCTTCATGGGAGGTTTAACAGTTTTACAGAGTACAGGGTACATGTCAGTAGTACACAGAAATAAAAATGCATATCACCAAAATGTTATGTTCTGGTCACACTGGTCAGTTATCAGAGGTAGAAAGAGTATTTGCTTAATTTTTACTTAAGTAAAAACAAAAAGTATCTTAAAGGAAATGTACTCGAAGTAAAATTTACTTAGTTACTTTTTTGTCAACATAAGCATGGCCTCTTCTAAGTGCAAAAATACAAGACCAGCTCACGACACACACACACCCACACCCACATGCATTAGACACCGCTCTGCCAACAGAAGACAGTTTTTCACAGAGAAGAGACAGTTGGATGAATTATAATGCAGTCATTGAGAACAGAGCGTTCACATTAATTGGATGAGGATTTTCCAGGATTATAGAATTCAAAGGTGATTCCAATTATTCTTTTTTGTTTTTGACTAAACATATTTATTACTTACCAATCGGTATGTGACGAGCATTTCTAAAACAATCTCCAGATAAACTTGTCTCACCCCACCATGGGAACCCCCCATGTGTTCATTGGTAGTTTTGATGCCTTCAGTGAGAATCTCCCAATGTAAATAGTCATGAAAATAAAGACAACGCATTGAATGAGCAGGTGGCCTGTACTGTATGTCAGTGTTTTCATTACAAAACTATGCTATTGTCTAACATGAGACTGCGTTCCAACCTGTCAAATAATATAACGGTATAGTACAGTAAGTATACAAAAATATGTATTAAACTACAGCCTAGAGGCCCTTTTAGGCAATGTCGGGAATGCAGAACTGTCAAGTACACAGGTGGCAGGAACGGCAAATCACATGTGTTAGCAAGTATCAACAGAGCCAATCGGTCCATGTCAGGTGACGTATTGGGTGCTGTAGCGCGCTGCATGATGGGATAGCTAGGTGTATAAACAAAGGAAGCACCAGTCGCTTTGTGTGTTGTGAGCTTATTAAACTGCAAAAAATGGTCCACTCCGGTTTTGTGAAAGGCTGCCATGCTATCTTCACAAAAAGGCAAAAATGTTGAATGTAGGCAGGGATAGCATTAATCGGATATTTTCCGGTTCTGACCATTTATTTTGACGGAGAAATCTCAGGGCTGTTGGTCATTCTGACATACGGGAATTACCCCGATGCAGCAGAACCAGAACGCAGCAGGAAAAATGTAAAAAATGTTTCATTGTAACATTAATATGTTGCTGGACATGCTGGCCAGCTTGTTTAGACTAAATATTAATGAAAAATGAATGAAATTTAAATTTTAAATGTTTATTTATTATATGAGAAATGGAAATTACAGGAGGAAACGATCATGACCGTTTTTTCAACTCAGTCGGTCAAAATGACAACACACATGTCTAGTGTGACATCAGCATGTAGGTATTGTTTCTGTACCTGCATGTAACTCATATTGATAATATCTTGTTTAATTAAGGCCCATCCAGAAAATAAAACCTGCCTGTGTTAGTGGAGTATTATTTCTGGACGGTTACATTTTACTTGATTGACGGTGGCACAGGATTTAAGTGCTCGACTCATAATCAGAAGGTTGCAGGTTCGAGCCCAGCTCAGTTTGTTGCTGTCACTGTGTCCTTGGGCAAGACACTTAACCCCCTTGCCTGCTGGTGGTGGTCAGGGGGACCGGTGGTGCCAGTGCTCAGCAGCCTCGCCTCTGTTGGTGTCCCCCAAGGCAGCTGTGGCTGCATCGTAGCTCATCCCCACCAGTGTGTGAATGTGTGTGTGAATGGGTTAATGACTGATTGTGTTGTAAAGTGCCTTGGGGGGTTCCAGGACTCTAGAAGGCGCTATATCAAATACAGACCATTTACCATTTACTTTTACTTGATAATAAATAGGTTGAAGTAGTGCTACGTTTACACAAGTGATATATTTCCAGCAGTAATGAAACGTCTGAGCTCCGTTTGTTTCCTTTGACGTCATAGGGATTTACAATGTCGACAGTAGACAATTTCTGAAAATGCAGATTTCTATTATGCGTTAGAAGTTTTTTTCCTTTAAGGGATGTGTTCGTCCTTGTACTTTTTATCGATCCTATAGAGCTCCGGACGTCACGTGACTCTCAGAGAGTAGACGCCATGTTGGCAGGCAACAAAGGTAAACAAAATGAACGGGATCGGCTTGGGTTTTACTTCGTCAGAGTTTACTTCACACTTTAAAACCAAATAAATCGTTTTATATAGAGCTCCGGACCCCACGTGACTCTCAGTTAGTGGACGCCATTTTGGCATGCAAAAAAGGTAAACAAACACAGATGTAACCATGAACATGAACGGGATCCGCTTGGATTTTACTTCGTCGGAGTTTACTTCACACTTTAAAACAAGAAATCGTTTTATATAGTCAGAAATTAAATAGACTAAACATCTCCGACCCTTACCGTGCCCCTGGGATACTTTTTAAAAACGCCAGAAGTCGTAGCGGACTTCTTACCGGCACAACACCGGACCTGGCCGGGGAAACCCCTTGGGATTCCCCCGGCCGGAGGAGCTGGGGAGAAGGTCTGGGACTCTCAACTCTACTGCCCGCTCCGACGCCAGAAGCTGTCGGAGCGGACCGGCACAGCACCGGACCTGACCGGGGAACCCCTTGGGATTTACCCGGAGGAGCTTGCTCCGGCGGCTGGGGAGAGGGAAGTCACGCTACTGCCCCAGCAACCCGACTCCGGATACGCGGATGAAAATGGATGGATGGACGGACAAATAACAGATTTACATGTAAGTAGTCTCGGTGACACAGATAATAGCAATCCAAAGTGCTTTTTATGTGTGATCTGATCAACCATTGCTTAAAAATTAAATACGGCTTAGCCGGTTAATTGCTGTGATCATAAAACACGTAAACGGCAGCACGCAGAACTCACGAGGCAACGTTTTACGTGATGTTTACTTGCTGCTATGAGTAATAAGACAGAAAAAGCCACGCCAAAATAAGTTTAGGAAGCCCACTAAGAATCATAATAAAAGCATTTAAAATAAATACCATACACAGTTGAGGAAACATTGGTTTAAGTACCTGATATGAAGCGGTCGCTGCATAAGCGAAAACCTTTACTCTCGGGATCCCACAGCTTCATTTTAACCCGGTCACTAGCGCGTTTTATTACAATGCTCCAACGTTTGCGGCGCTCCGGATCTTGGGGAATCCTGTAGATGACTCATTCCTTACGTTGTCCGCGTCTGTTCTGCATCCTGAGGCACAACAGGAATCTACCATATTTCCCGTTTGATTGAGTTTTCTGACAATAGTAAATAGTCCAGCTGCCGGCTTCTGCATGCCAATATGGCGCCGTTTCGATTTGAACTGTTGCATGCCGGGAGAAGTGACGTCAACTCCCGGAGCTCTATAGTCAGCAATTAAATAGACTAAACATCTCCGACCCTTATCGTGCCCCTGGGATTCTTTTTAAAAATGCCAGAAGCTGTCGGAGCGGACTTCTTACCAGACCTGGCTGGGGAACCCCTTGGGAGGAGCTGGCCCAAGTGGCTGGGGAGAGGGAAGTCTGGACCTCTCGACTTAGGCTACTGCCCCTTCTTCCCGACTCCGGATAAGCGGATGAAAATGGA